TCTCTACCCTGCAGAATACAAAGTCATTGATACAAGCTGCACCTTAACCAGCTTTGATAACACGTTAATGCATCAATAATTATAATCGAAAAATAATACATATTATTCTGATAGGGGCCAATCTGCTTAAGAAGTACTTTTACTTTTGGTATTTTAAGTTTATTTTGATGCCAATACTTTGTAGTTTTACTTGAGTAACATTTTGAATGTAGGACTTTTACTTCTAACATAGTATTCCTACACTCTTGTACTTTTACTCAAGTACAGAGGCGGGAGAAGTACTCTGGTTACTACTGCCTGCCTGTCTTTCACGATACTGGACACCCACCTGGATTTCAATCCCACAATGCAATGCGTCTTTTCTAAATTTCAAAATCATGCGACAGTAGTGCTGAAACCATATACAGTATGGCTGAAACTGAGGACTAAATATAATACACTATTGAGTCTACTTTAGCAGTGAGAGAGAGAGGGATTTCACAAACGGCCTCAGTCAAAACATTTTATTGATGTTATCAAAACAATCACTGAGTTCAAAACTTTAAACCAGAATTGCCAGCTAGGAGAGACCTATGACCATGTGAACCCAAGTCTCATCTTGGCTTGAAGAATATTTCGTGCCACATTAATCCTTTTAATGTCCTGGGTGGCACCAGAGACATATTTGGGCATTTGAGCCCCAGTGTTGTCCTGAACGAGGTAGCAAGAAGCAGGACCGAGCCCTCCTCCGATCCCTTGCCCTGCCGCTTTGGAGAGAGGAAACACATTTCGCTGAGCCCCAGCCGCTGCGTTGATGAGGTCGTGAGAGTATTGTTGAAACAGGTGTTCTTCTTTAGCAATGACCTCTGCGTAGTCCTCCTGAAACTCTTGCTCCTCTCTTTTCCGCTGCTGGAGCTTGGCACCTTTCTTAGCCTATATTTGGAGGATAAAGGTGACATGTTAAAAAGGGCCATGAATCATGGAATGGTGTGGAGGAGATAGTTTTAACATTACCATTTCTGTAGCATTGGACTCATGTGCATTTCGTCCTTCTGCTTTCATCTTCTGAGCCTTCATTTTTTGTTTCTCTTCAAATATTCTGTCGGCCTCTTTCATGGCCTGAAGTGTGCCCATCATGCTTTGTTTGGTTGTTTTGTCCTTCTGCTCCTTCTTTTCTTGCTAGGGAAACACAGTTTGTGAAACAGGTGAGAACCTTTTGTTACATGTAGGGCCGGTCCTGACATATTTGCTGATTTTATATTACTGCATTTAAACATGTTTTGGTAGAAACCGAAGTTACATGTATGAACCTGAAAATAAGCATAATATGTCCTTATTATAACTACTTTATAAAGAGCTTCATGCAACCGTAGTATTTTGCAGGTGCAATATCTGAACTTGTGTTACCATGAATTCCCTGTGTGCAGTTATTGACTCCAACATGGCCGCCTTCTTCTCATCCTCCTCTCTCTTCCTTTGTGCCAGTTTTTCATCCTGCTCAGCGACAGCCTTTGCGATCCTCTGCTCCTCGTTGTCAGTTTTCTCCTGCTGAGTGACAGTCAGCTTGTTCATGGTCCACTCTCTTCGCATCTGGGCCTCACTGAAAAACATGTCACACGTATGATCTTAATACACAAAGGATCCAACTGTAACTGTATCACTTCAGATGTTTTGCCGGGCCTTACCTGAACAATTCCTTTTCTTTTTCTTTCCGTAACTTTACAATTTTTTGTCTGGAAGAGAGGAACATTTTTATTTGCTCCTCTTCAGCCTCCTGCTTCTTTGCATGTGTTGCTCTTATGAGGTCACTGTTGGCGACGTGTTCCTGCATATACAGATTAAACATTAGGTGTCATAAATGATAAAATTACTAGATGACCTGTGCTGCTAAGGCCCTACCAGGTGACCGTGCATAAGGTTTCTCCTCAGCTTTGCTTTTCTTTCTTCTTCCATGTTTTGCTCCAAACGGTGGAGTTCTAAAAGGCCTTGGGCTTCCTCTCCGTCCTTCCTGTTCTCCATCTTCTCACGCTCTCTCACTTGCTCACGTTCCTTCATCCTAAAGAACAGGTATCATTTTCTCATGTGGCATGTGTTTGCATATCTTTGGAATGCCTATAATGTGTCTGATGTGAGACTTACTGGTTTTTCAGGTGTCCTACCACAGCCTGTCCCTCCAGTTTTTTCCGAAGTGCTTTCTCCTGCTCCTGTCTCAAAGCTTCATCAATATCGGTCTTTTCCAGATCCAGAAATTCTTTGTCGACATCTTTAGAGGCACTCTTGATCTTTTGCTTCAGTTTAATCTGCGCCTCCCTCTCCTCCAGCACCTCAGTCAGCAGGAGGGCACGCTATGGAAGAGGTAACAATCATTAATTATCCCAAAACATCAACATACTGTATAGCCAAACATGTACAGGTGACACAATATTTCTCATGCGATACTAACGTGTAGTCCTTTAATACGGTTGGTTTCATAATAGAGCTGAGTCTTGGCTTTTTCAATGGCCTCTTCACGCTGCTGCTGCTGAAATTTGGCCTCTTCTTGATCAATCATTTTCCTTTTTTCCTCCTCAGCCTCCTCCCGGTTCTTCTTTGCCTCTAACTTTTTTTGCCTTTGACCCTTTAAAAAAAAATTCAGTGTATTGACCTTTTGCTCTAGGCTGTGCTTTTGTTTTGCAACATTTTAAGCAGGTAAAAATGTAATACAGCAAATAAAATCCTTGAAAAATCTGTACAGGAAACTTACAGCGATGGTATTGGACCAGAGTTTCACCACCTCCGTTGACTGCAAATGCAGGGCCTCTCTCTGTTTGGCTGCCTCCTTCATATCCTCTTTGTCTTTATCAACCCGGTTCACTTCATCTTGAATCCTCTGCCATTCTCGTTTGCTTAAGACAGTGACCTGTCGGAGGTCTGGGGGTTCGATCATCCTGCTGGGTTCCTCAGCTGAAGATACTAATAAAACAAATGTAGAAATAAAACTAGAATTATATTCAAGCACCATCCTCTTTGTGGAGTATGGATAGTTGAGTACATTGCTGATTCATACTTTAAAATAGTCATATATTCCAGTAAAAGCTTTTCTCCAGAATATGCATATTTATTTCTTCCAAGTTAAAGTTACATTCTGTCATTACACAAGGAATTAAATAGCAGATTTTGTAATGATGGAGATGCTGAAAATGAGGTATGTAGGCCTATGCCCTGTAAAAACTAATAATCTGATTCAAGTTATTTATGTATTGCTGCTAAATGAAATGTCCCAATTTAGGTGTGTTGTGTGGTGTTTCTATTTCTCTACCAGAAATATATCAAGTGATTGTTAAAAAAGCTTTAAAAGAGCAATTATTACGCAGACCAATACATAACTCTTAAAGTTATAATATGGGCAAATACAATAATAACATTTCACAGGCTTGTTTTGTTGTTTATTTGCTTCATGGGGGAGGTTGCACTCTGGGATTTAAAATCCTGGCTCAGGCCTTGCATGTATGAGATATAAATGCATGCAAAAAATAGCACTGTGCAGTTCTCTATCAATCTACAGGAAGTTGTTTTCTGGCAAGAAGTTTGGGCATGCGTTTGGATGGATGCAATATAACTAAACAACATGTTCTCCAAGGCCCCTCCACATTTTCTGTATTGAGTTTTAGGTAAGTATTTCAAGACTGCTCTCTCCTTGAAAAAAATATTTTAGCCGTGACAGACGTTAGATACCTTTTGTAAAAGTAGATCAACTCTCACCTCTCTTACTGGAGCCTGTTCTTCGGCCGTGCTGGACCACCGATGCCATTTTTATTCGATATCTATAACCTAAAAAAAAGCACTACTCAATTGAATGTTGAAATGTTTCTGTAGCTAGTGTTAAATCCAGATTACAAACGGCTCTGTCAGTGTCCGCATTTGTTGTTGCGGTGTATCCAGGCAACGGCTGAACCAATCAGAAGCATTTCAGCTGATGGACACCTGATGGCGCTGTGGGACCCCAACATGTAACATCACACACATCAATGTCATAGAAATATGGCCAAACATGTTTGCCTCTTTCCCTTTGCACTTTTAAAATCATGCAAACATATATTTTAGGAAAATATGACTTGCTCAATCTGTCATAGACAACCGGGAAATCCAATACAATTGGATAGATATTACTTCAATAACAGTTTACTCATTGAATTGAGTGGTGGGACATCTGTTTTAAATAAAGATTAATCAAACAAATGAATGTTCAATCTAGACTCCAGAACTGCTTTGCTCTTACTGCTGTTCTGTTCAGGGTAATGGAGACAGGGAAACACCCCTTCACAATTCAATGACACAGATACTGTAGGCCTACCCACTCAAACAACTGCTGTACCAATAATCATACAGATTCATCGGCATACAATCAAATCATCTGTTTTGTAAAATCTAGTCTTAAAAAAATATGTACTATTACGACTGTGACATTCTGACAAACAAACATAAGGGGGCTGTCATGTGCAGCTTAATGAGTCATGTGATGAACAGCATCTCTTGAATTAAGAAGTGGACTTGACTGACCTGATCTACTGGTAAATAAAAACATGTATAGCATGAAGGAATTAACAATTACAAACTTGTAATGTGTATAATTCTGAAATGGGCCTTTTGCATGGCCTGTATAGGGAACTTTTACTTCAGGCAGTGCTGATGCTTATGTTGTTCTACTTAAGTATGATTTTGAATAAAGGGCTTCTTCTTGTAAAAGAGCATTTTTACAAAAAATGAGTGGTATTAATAGTTTTATATTGTGCTACACTTATTTTACTACTTTCTGTAACACTGACATGAGCCATTCCCTGCATAATAACGAGTTGTCTACTTGTTTTTTTTGGTATTGTGAATATAGGACATTCTGTACTAAAATACACATCATGAATGCCTGCTTAAAGTGATAAGCTATGCAATTTTTACAAAAGCCGTTTTTTCTTCCACCACTGTTAATGGCCTGGCACTACTTTGTTAAACTGGTTTCCAGAGGGCCTCCTCTATCGTTACATCAGAGCAAGAGCTACACGAGGGCGGGATAACTTTGAGAGGGCCGTCTTAAATCCCAGAACTCCTTTCAAAACCAGCAGAGGGAACCGACCAAGCAACGGTGTTCAGGAAAGGACCAGCCACCCGACGTTTCCAGACAACCAGCAACAAGCAGCGATCCCCGGAAGAAAAACCCCAAGATGGCCCCTATCTGCATCAAGACTGTTTTAATCAGTGAAAGTGTCGATCCTCGCTGCAAGGCGATTCTGGAGGAAAATGGCATTCGAGTTACGGAAAAACCCAATATGAAAAGGGATGAATTAATGGCGGAGATTAAGGTAAAGTTTGCACACCAGTGTCGCACAAAAGCTTGATCATGCATCGGCTGTCGTTTTTTATTCCTGCGCCACATATTTGAAAAAAAGTTTAGCTCGCATCATTTTAAAGCTTCTCCCAATCGACTTAGCTGTGCGCATGTCTTGAGTGAAAGTATTGTCAATGAAGTAACGCCTGTTTTTGGTTGTTTTTTCATACAACGTTTAATTGTCTGTACAATTATTTTTTTTATAGGCAATATACCAATACCTTTTTTCTCAGGTTTTTCCTCTGAGCCAGACACGTATTTGTCGGGTTTGGATGTGCCAATTGATTTTAGTTGCATTTAGCACCGCCCCTTGTGAAGCTGATGCAACTCATCCCTGACTTTACCAGCTGCTCTCCCATCACTTTCTCACAGTGCCACATGCAGCACATTGGCAGCTTTTGTCAATTTATTGCAGAGGGCCGGCTGTGCATGTATCAGAAAATAGTATTATGCCTTTGTAGCATTTTAGATTTGTTGGATCAGAAAGTATGGATTGCAATGAAATAGTTAGAATACAAACGTAATGGATACAACTGTTTCCATAACTGCAGTATGCAGGACTTGACTAACTTCTTGTAAGGGCCTTAAAAGGGCAAAAGTGAGTGGTTTTCTTTTGACTTATTTTTTTAACCACTGAGCCCTCTCTGAAGTGGGGTTGATTGGGGTAATTTTCTATAGTCTATCCACAGTAGATGGATGTAGCACACCCCATGTTCCTGGTTAACGGCTGTCTGACAGAAAGGTAAAGTAGTAAACAGATTATTTAGCTAAAATACATTTTGCTTTAACTCTGTTCATAGCAGAACATACTTTTCAATGCTGTAACTCCTGTTTGCTTCTCCAAACTGGGAACGTGCTGACAGCCATCTATTGTAGATACAAGTACAAGTGTGGACAAGTACCTCATGCAACCCAACTTCAAAACCTGAACTATTCCTAAATCTCATTAAGCCCACATTGTTCTTACTGCCCCTCATGTGTGCTGTCTGCTTTGAGTTATTTATGGTGCTTTCACATCTGGTGCTGGGTTGTTCCTGTCCTAATGATCTTCACCCAGTGCCGTTTTGTTGCCACTGGCTTTCTACAAACAATAAAAGAGGAGTTAACATGAAGTCATATTGAACAACAATACCTTATTCATTGGACAGTTTTTTTTGTCACTGTGCCTCCTGAGTATATTGCTTTTCTCTGTTGTTCACAAAATGTTATTTAATATGAGCAACTGTGCCTCTTTTAAACACAAAGCAAAGATAGAAAATGAGTCCAAAAGCAACATTTTGTTACTTGGTGAAAACAGACAATACTGTGTTGTCGAGCTGACCTGTTTCAATGGTTACAAATGTATCTTGTAAAAATGTAGGCCACACAGATCAGGAGATGGCTTTGTTTATGGCTCATGGTCAATTTTTTGATCAAAATGCTCCCCTAGAAGAATGGGGGCATCAAGATATAGTCTTGGTTTTAAGGCCCTTTTCATGACTGTTTGTTTTATGCTGTAGTGGCACAATTGAACAAAAACCTTTGCACTAGTCTAATATACTGAGCAGAGTGATTTAGTGGAAGGTTTTTGGAAACATGGACATTGACACTTTGTTGAGGTGTAAATCTAGCCTTTAATAAACTACCAACAGATATACAACTCCATGAGATGAACTGTGATCCTCTCTCCACCCTAGGACTACGATGGCCTTGTGGTCAGATCTGCCACAAAGGTAACAGCTGATGTCATCGATGCTGCTAATCTAAAAATCATCGGAAGAGCTGGAACCGGCGTGGACAATGTGGATGTTGATGCTGCCACCAAGAAGGGTATTATTGTCATGAAGTAAGTCTCCAGTCTATGTAACTTTCTTCCTGTGCAGTTTCAGTATAATGTACTGTCCATTAACTGTTAACTGTTTTCTCCAGCACACCAAGCGGAAACACCATCAGTGCTGCCGAGCTGACATGTGCCCTGCTGATGAGCCTCTCAAGGTGAGATCAGCCGTTGTCAACATGCTTTTTTTTAAGTGCATGGAAGTTCTGCACGAGTGCCATTATTATGTGGTTGTTTTTCCAGATTTGTGCCTCAGGCTGCCATGTCGATGAAGCAAGGGAACTGGGATCGCAAAAAAGTAAGCAGAGATTTTAGTTTGCCCCCATATGCTGTGCATGTTTGCAGTGGGCACACAAAGCGGTTACTGATGCATGGTCGGCTCCATTGTTCAGCCAGTCATCACTGATCAGATGTGAAGCTTGGATGAGGTCAATGTTTTTTTCCTAATTCTACAGTTCATGGGTGCAGAGCTCTATGGCAAGGTCCTTGGAATAGTTGGACTTGGAAGAATAGGAAAGGAAGTCGCCTCAAGAATGCAATCATTCGGCATGAGGGTAAGTTATACTTGACTAAACTGTTCACTATTTGCACTTGGTGATTGAATTATGCAAACATGGCTTTTTTTCTCCCCTCCTTAGACAATCGGCTATGATCCAATCACTCCTCCTGCGGTGACAGCCAGCTGGGGGGTGGAGCAGATGTCCCTGGAGCAGTTGTGGCCACAGTGTCACTACATCACTGTTCACACTCCTCTGATGCCCTCTACTGTCGGTTAGTCTCAAAGCTCTCATCATTACATAGCCATCGTTCATTTTACTGAAAATGTGAACCTCAATTGTATTTTTTTTGCCCAAGGTCTTCTTAACGATGAATCGTTTGCTAAATGCAAGAAAGGAGTAAAGGTTGTCAACTGTGCACGAGGGGGCATTATCGATGAGGACGCTCTCCTCCGAGCTCTGGAGTCCGGACAGTGCGGAGGAGCAGGGCTCGATGTCTTTGTTGAGGCAAGACGATTGGAACATGAAATTGTGTCATTTATCACTCTTTAATATTAATAAAAGGGTTTCTCCATCTTACTTTGTGATCATGCTTCTGCCACAGGAGCCTCCTAAGAACCGTCCATTGGTCGACCACCCTAACGTGATCAGCTGTCCTCACCTGGGAGCCAGCACGAAGGAGGCGCAGGCTCGCTGTGGGGAGGACATCGCTCTGCAGATTGTGGACATGGTGAAGGGCAAGAAGCTGGTCGGAGCAGTAAGTAACACTCCGTTCTACTTGTAACAAATTACTTCTCAGACCTTGACATTTTTTGTTGCCATACATATTGAAGTGTTACATTTTATCATCAACCTTTTTTTTTGGTGCAGCATGCAAGACATTTTACATTTAAAAGAAAAAAAAAAAAAAGCCATGGAAAATATAAATGCTAAATTACACGCAGTTTGATACACTTAGCTTGTCATATTTTAAAAAAAACAAAAACAAAGTGAACAATATTTGAAAAGCTACTTTTTTTTTTTATAAAGCAATTGTACTTTACACTTTATGTTTAATACCCGTTAACTTAATATCCAATGATTATTCTTTCTGTCAGGAGAGATTAAGTTGAGGTGAATGAAGACACAAAGGAGTAGACACAAATAAAAATACAATTTACGTTTTTGTAGGCACCTAAATTGTCAGACTTCTTAAGCTTCCTGTACAGAAAACAGGAAAATATGCCAGCACACCCAGTTCACAAAAGCACTCTACTGTTCATGTCTTGTTTTTATATTCAATTTTGTTCTCCTTTTTTTAGGTAAATGCATCAGTTTTGGCCAGCACTTTCTCCCAGGAATCTCACCAGCTGATCAAACTCGGAGAAGCCGTTGGAGCCGTGCTGCAGTCATGCACTTCTTCAAAGAAACCTTTCAAAAGTGTTCAAATCTCTACTCAAGGTAAAACCACTCGTCTAACCGGTTTAAGGGGCTGTCATATAACGTAGATAGAAAATATTGTAATCGTGTTCTCTTTCTCCCTCTAGTGGTATGATTCTGAAGCGATCACTGTTGTGTCTGCAGTTGATGGCTTTCTGCTGTTTTTCTAAAGTCCACATATTTAATTTGAAGTATTTAACTGTCAACACCATGCACAATTTTCTTTAAACCAGGGGATTGCATGAAGTCCTCCACTGGTTACATGACTGCATCAGTACTGGTTGGATTGCTGGCCAATGGATCTGGCTCCTGCCCGAACCTAATCAATGTGCTCAGCCTTGCCAAGGAGTCTGGAATCACGGTACAGCAGAAACTAATTCTGGCAAGTTCACATGACAATAACGTGTGTGTCTTCTTTTTTTTTTTAAATAAATTCTTCCTACATGCATTTCTCCAGGTAAACCAGGCCCACTGCTCATCTGATGCGGCAGGTGGTGTGTGTACGGTGGAGATCGTGGCCAACGGCAGCAGCTTCAAAGCCACTGGTTCAGTTCAGGGTGGCGTGCCGGTGCTGCTGGAGCTGAGTGGCAGTGTGTTCAGACAGCCGGTCTCTCTCACTGGAAACCTGCTGTTCTTTAAGGCCTCCGCAAGTCCACAGCTCCTGTCCTCGGTGGCTGGTAAGGAATTTTAGGATGAGGCTATTTCCCAGTAATGCTCTGGTGAAATCACACTGGTTTTGTTAGAATAAGGACATAACTGATGGCTACAAATAGTTGGTGTCTATATTAAAACCCTCCTATTGTCTTCGCTTTCCCCCCCCTTACTTTGGTGTTCGCAGTCAAATTTGACCGGTCCTGTTTTAACTGCTATTACATTAACACAAAATCCATTAATCATCACCAAATTTCATTTAACACCCTTTCAAACTGTGAATATTGTATTAGACTACTGGTATACATGAAACTGCAGTAAATATATAAAGAATAGACACTGAACATGTATTGCGTTTGCCAGGTGTGGGGGGATGGGCACATAAGAGCGGGAAATGTGTAGTGTGTGTGTGCGCGCCACAGGTGTGCTTCACATGCACATAAGGGGGGGGGACACACACATCTAGAGTATTTGTGTGTTTTATCTGATCCGGATGGTTACTAATTCCTTTTCTTTATGGCGGTCATTTTTGACCGTGAACATCATGGGTGTTACAAAGTTGACTAAATTATCCAAAATGCAATGAAAGTGGTGATCAGCAATTGTATATGTTCAAATGTCTACTGTGAAGGATATCATAAAGCCTTAATGCAATCGAATGTAAAACAAAAAGATTATGATTGATAAAAGTAGTAAATCGGTCAGATTTGACCCGAAGACAACAGGAGGGTTAACAAAGTCTGTGTGGATCTTAAGCGGGGTAAACAAAAGTGAGAGCTGTGATAAACTAAATATAAAACATACCCAACATTCTTAGTCAAAATTAGAAACCAGCAGAGATCCATCATGCAGTAAGTCAAGGCTGATTTCCTCTAACGGGGGTGCAAAAGAGGGGTTTGAGCAGTATAGAGTGGCCCATCTACTACCGCCCCATGGGACCTTATTTCTGAAAAATGATGTATTGAAGTCAATGGAGAGAGAACTTATCTTTTCGATTCCGTTTGAATTGTGCCATGAATCACACATATGATGTTTGTCAATCTTAAAAAATCATTACCATGTCAAAAAAGTCACAGTTTCTTAAAACTGTTGAAATATAAAACTATGAAAAATACGCAACTAGAAAGACTACAAATCCCAGAGTCGCGTACATTAACGTTACACATTACACGTGTTACTCACCGAAACCTTGTAAAGCCGGTCCCGCATGCTGGCTCTTACGGAACTGACTAACTCCCCTTTTGTGTATGTACAGCTCTCAACATGGCCAGACTTGTAGTGATTTTCACCTCTTTTAATACTTTTCACTTCATTCTGAAAGAAAGAGGTGAAATGTGCTAACGTGACAGCCATCTTGGTGTTGGTGACGTATGCAAGACCAGAGTTGTAG